AGGCTCTGAGCAATAATCCCACCCGAAAGGTGGCACATTCCCGGCATTATCCCACAGACGTTGCTATGATAATCCCGTCTTGCCTCGCCACAAGGGAGAGACGAGGGAAGCAAGGGGGGGGGTGTGGGGGGGGAGGCGCAGGCCTTGGCCGGGGGGCCGGGTAGGGAGCGGAGGGGTGAATACTATTGGTGTCCAAGAGCATGGCACTGTGGAGGGAGCATGAGTTCGAAGGCGGAAACGCACGGGACTGGGGCGGGAGCACGCTTTCAGAGGCATAGACACGGCGTGCCGCGACTAAATACATGCAGTGCACCGTGGAGGGAGGATGATTGCGAGAGTCACAGGACCACAACGCGAACAGCCAAATTCCTATGGTACTGCGGCAGAAATACGATTGTTTGAGTACGCCAAATTCCGAATCGCGTTAGCGTTGGCGGTGCCAGAACTTCATCGACTCGCATGAATTGAAGACCAAAAAGTGAGCACGGGATTGTGGGGAGAGCAGGACCTCCACCCAAAAGCGACCGCAATTCATCAACGTGGGCAGTGCCGAAGCATTGGATTTTACCTCGATTCGGCATCAGGCGGATGCAGCTGGCATGGGACTGTGAATTCAGTCGATGCTATGCAACACCCGCGGCCGGGGCACCGTGCAAGCCTCTAACCAAGTCGCCTTACCCTGAACGCAAGAGGGTTCCTGTTCGATTTGCGACATGTCGGTTCGTGTTTGCTTTGCTTGCACGTTCTCCGAGCTGTTTTCGTTTATCAAACCTATATTCTGCAATGCTGTTGTCTTGGCTACTCCTCCGCCCCTCCGAATCTAAGCTAGAATGTTTCCAGAGACGATGATGTGCACAATGTTGCTTGTAATTCCATGCTTGCTGCTGGCCCTCAGTATTTCTGTTTTCTTCACCTTCCTCGTGGTGCTTTTCGTGACTTGCCCAAGAGTCCGAAGCCAGGAACATTGGCTCCTCGATCAAGGACTCCAACAGCTTGCTCGATCAGATGGGTGCGCCTCCCAGCTTCGGACCACCCAGGCCCTTGAAGATCTGAGCCCCAAAAAACCCCTAAACCC